GGAGAAGAGAAGGCCAGTAGATGGAGCATGTTTGAGGTAACGAAGTATCCTTGTCACAGCCTTGTAATGTGCATTTGTTGGGTTAGACATGAATTGGCTGACCTGTTGGGTGGTGAAGCTGATGTCTGGCCTCGTTATTGTCAAGTAGATGAGTTTGCCAACCAAGTGTCTGTAGTGTTCAGGGTTGGGATAGGAATCCTCATCGTGGGTGGATAAATGAGATTTGTAGTCCATGGGAGTGCTGACTGGCTTGGTGTTGAGCAAGTCTGCCTCTTCTATGATTTCCAGAGTGTACTTCGTCTGTGAAATATGTATACTAGAAGTAGTTCTAGCAACCTCGATACCAAGAAAGAACTGGAGTTCACCCATGTCTTTGATGCTGAATTCATGGTATAAAAAGGCTTTGAGGGTGGTGATCTCATTGAGATCAGTTCCACCAACAATTAGGTCATCAACGTAGACTAGAACACATGTGTAGGATGTTGAAGTAGCTTTGTACAAGAGTGAATGGTCTACCTTGCTGGAGACATAACCCTTTGTGTGAAGCTTTTCTGCCCATTTAGCAAACCACTGACGAGATGCTTCCTTGAGACCATAGAGTGATTTTCTAAGTTTGCAAACTGGATTCTTGAAACCAGGAGGGGCAGTGTATCCATCTGATAACTTCATGTAGACATCTTATTCTAAATCCCCATGTAGGAAAGCGTTGTTGATGTCTAGTTGGTGGATGTGCCATTTTTGAGAGGCTGCAATGGCTAAGAAAAGGCGAATGGTTGTCATTTTGACCACAGGTGCAAAGGTGTCCTGGTAGTCAACCCCTTCTTGTTGGTTGTATCCTTTAGCAACTAGGCGTGCCTTGTGCCTTTCAATGATACCCGTAGAGAGGAACTTCAACCTGTATATCCATTTGTAGCCCACCAGTCTCACCCCTTCAGGTTTCTCAACTATGTCCCATGTATGGTTTTTAGCAAGGGCTTCCTTTTCAACATCCATGGCTGCTGACCAGTAGGGAGAAAGGATTGCCTATTTATAAGTTGATGGTTCCTTGTGAGAGGAAATGCTCAACACAAAGTGTTTGTGAGAGGACAGCAAGTTATCATATTTGATGACAGAACTCAGAGAATGAGAGATACCTGGAGAATGGTGTTGGGGAGAATGACTGGTGTTGCTGCTCTGCTGTAGAAGATTACAATGGTAGGCTTGAAGTTTAGAGGGTGGTTTAGTGACTCTGGTTGATTTGCGAGGTGGAGGAAGGTTAGATGGTGGGGGTGGTGGAGGTGGTGGTGGTGAGGAAGTAGGAGGAGAAGAGGAATCTGAGTCTTGAGTCAGAGTCTAGAGAGGGAATGTGTGGTTGAGAAGTAGGAGGGGAAGGTTGATAGGTTGGGTTGGGTTGGGGTCATCAAACAATGTAGGATTTGAGGGGTTATGGTTTATGGTGTTTGGGGAATCATGTTCAGTAGCAGGAGTGGTGTGAAAGGGAAAATGATCCTCATGAAACTGAACATCACGAGATGTGAAGATTTCATGAGTGGTGAGATCATAAATTCGATACCCTTTGATACCAGGAGTGAATCCAAGGAATATACCCTTTCTAGCTTTAGGGTTGAATTTTGATCTATGGTTGCTGAGTGTGCTAGCAAAACATATGCAACCAAAGACCTTAAGTTCATTGAGATCTGGAGGTTTCTTATGAAGCTTTTCATATGGGGTCAGATTGTCAAGAACAAAGTAGGAACTCTGTTGATAAGGTAGACAGAGTGTTTGACACAATCTCCCCAAAAAGAATGAGGTAGATTAGCCTGAAATTTAAGATCTCTAGCAATAGCTAAAATGTGTTGATGTTTTCTTTCCACTTTGCTGTTTTGCTGTGGTGTTTCAACACATGATTGTTCATGAAAGATTCCAGTTTGATTGTAGAAATCAGTCATTTGAAATTCCCTACCTTGATCACTTCTGATTGTTCTAACTGGTTCCTCAAACTGCCTTTCAATGTAAGTGCAGAAGCTTTGTAATTTTGGTCGAGCTTCTGACCTAGCAGTGAGGAGGAGGATCCATGTCATTCTAGTAGATACAGTTGAACTGGTAGGAAATGGAAGTCTTTTCTGTCGAGCAAAATGGCAGACATCACATGGCAAAGACTTGTATGTTTCTATGGATGTACATAGTTGTTTCAAAAGAGGGACTTTGGAATGGGAAACATGTCCTAGTCTATAATTTCAAAGGTCAAAAGCTTGAGTGCTAGCAGATGTGATGTGTTTAGGGCTACTGTCTAGATTGGGGTTGTCAAGTAGGTAAAGGCCATGAAAGAGCTTAGCAGAACCAGCCATCCTCCTCAGCGGCATGTCCTGAATCAAACATACATCAGAGAAGAAATTCAAACAAAGAGACTTGTTCTTGGTCAGTTTACCGACTGACACAAGGTTGAAACTGAATTCTGGGACAAACAGGACCTCCTCTAGTGTTAAGCTGTCAAAGCAACTAACAGTACCAATATGAGTTGCTTGGACTTGTTGGCCAGTAGGAAGGGTGATATAGACATGATGAATCTGTCTATAGTTGATTAGATGTGTAAGAGAACAGACTATATGGTCTGAAGCCCTTGTGTCTAATATCCAAGCTTCATTGTAAGGAATGCCAACTGGAGTGCTGAGTGAAATTTTACCTTGAGGTGGAGTCGTGCTAGTAAGGAAAGCAACACCTGAGAAAGCTGAACCAGTAGAGGACTGAGCTTAGTGTGCATCAGTTTCATCAACTTCTCATAATCAGCTTTGGTTAGCTTGAACTCCTCTTGAGTGTCGTTGGTCTCAGTTGTAGAAGCAGAGTTGGCATAAGGCTTGGATCTTGGGTTACCCCTTCCAGCTCCAGCCATATTGGGTGGATAACCATGTTTGGAAAAACATTTATCCTCACCGTGGCCAAGCTTTTTGCAGTGAGCGCACTCGAGAGATCTGCCTGATGGGTGCTGGCCTTTGGGGTTCATGCCTGGAGGCCACCCATGCTTGTGAAAACACACGTCTTTAGTGTGTCCTTGAGCCTTGCAGTGTGTACAGAATGGTCTGCCTTTCTTGTTGGCAGGGATCTGAGAGGATGATGCTAAGGCCATAGGATCAGGGGACATAGATTTGCCTTGGGAGGTGCCATAGAGTTGTCTTTCGTGTTGGAGAACTCGTTGAAAAACTCTGTCAATAGAGGGTAAAGCATCTCCAAAGAGGAGTTGGGATCTTACAGTGCTGTAATTGTCATTGAGTTCTCTTAAAAACTGTATAACATAGTTAGTGTCTCGATATAGATGAACTTGTTGCATAGCTCGACACTGATTGTGACTGGTTGGTGTGCAGGTACATGGATCTAAGGGTTGGTAGTTGTCGAGCTCATCCCTTAGTGCAATGATATCATCATAGTAGTCAGTCACAGAACGATTACCTTGTTTCAGGACAGCTTGTGCCTCGATGAGTTCAGCAACCCGAATCATGTCCCCTTGTCCATATCGAGCTCGAAGACTTGTCCAGGCCTCTGATGCTTTTCGAATGGACATGATGGTCTTCCTAATGCTTGGATCGACTGCCTATTGTATCCAGGAGAGCACCATGATGTTGTTTCTTGCCCAAGCCCAGGCTGTTGGATGATCAGCTGCTGGCTCAGCAAGAGTGTCATCAATGAAGCCAAGTTTGTTCTTGGCCCCAAGAGCATTGTGCATTGCCTTGCTCCAATTATTATAGTTGATGGTGGTGAGTTTTTCTGCAAAAAGAACGAGCCCTGGTTGTTCAGATCCATGAAGGTAGAATGGATCAGCCATGGGGTCAGGATTTGCTGCAGGTGGGGGTGGAACAGCTGTTGCCGCAACATCAGCTTGTGCTGCAGCCATGGATGCTGGTGGCGGCTAGGGTTTCCAATTCCCAGGCTCTGATACCATAACAACAATTTGTATTGTGGGAAAGTGAAAACCCTTGTGTGATTTCATTGGTTTTGGCAGCATATATAGCTGGTACAAAATAGCATTACAAGACAAGCTTGCTTCTTATGCAAGTACGAACCAAAACAGAAAAAATAGTAAAAATGTAACATTGGGATTAAAAGTGAAGTTTGGCAACTTGATGTAGTACGCTGCCGTTCCAGTTGAACATTGTCGTTCCAGCCGAGTCTTCAGGCTGTGCCAGAAACGACGTCACTCCATTTCCTTCTTCCTTGTGTTTGATCTGCTAGGGGGAAATTCAAATTTGTTGAATTATCCCCTGATAGACCCATCAAGATCGAGGAGACGAGGACTGCAGCCGGATTCTCATCGTGCATGCAAAACGAACTGTTAGGATCTTGGAACTCCAACACAGGCTGAGAAATCGGCATCTGCGGTGGAGGAATCGACTGCTGCGGCGGCATCTGCGGTGGTACAGGAGGTCGTTACCCAGACCCAGACGATCGAGGCATCGTCGTCAACAGATTGAGAAACAAAAAATCGAGAAGAAGAAATGACAAGGAAATGTCGAGAACCCATTCCGTCTGGCCCATGTGTTAGACCAAAAATCGGGTTGCATAAACGAAAACACACAGTAGCATTTATTTTCATTTTTGCAAAGACCATAACGTCCATCCGAAAATCACTCCCAGCCCAGGGTAGCAATTTCAAAATGAAAGAAATCGAACTCATGAAATTGCTTTATATATTTTGTAGATAGATGATCAATGGTTCAAGATTTGATCCGGGTAGTCCTAAATCCTTCTCGAGAGCTACTTGTTTTGCCCCTTCTAATGAAAAGACCGATTTGCTCCCATTGAAAACTGACACCGAATGTATGATAGTTGCGTAGATATATGGATAAAAAGAAAATACGAGGATTGAACAGTGGTATAATATCCAAATTTCAAAATTGAATCCAACAAAAATATCTTCAAAAATATTAATCAATTTTATTACATTCCTTTGAGCAACATAACACAACTCAAACTAATTATTCCTGTTGGAAGTAGCAGCAAAACATAATGAGTAGAGTAACATTTATAACCTTCTAATAATTTTTCATACTATCGATCAACTATGGGAGTCGGGTGGGTGACAAGTGACAACACCAACCTATCCACCAATTACAACACCAATGTCTACGATAACCGTCTGGTTGATCCTGGCTTGAGGAAGTAGATATCTCTTGAGGGAAATATCTAGCATTGGAAGCTTGACTTCCAATTACGAAACTCGCAATCAAAATGAAGCATATGGCTATGCGCAAATCTAGAGCCATGTGAATGATGATTTCATAAAATTCTGCTGATCACTCCTTTCTGAGTAGGATAATGTGTTAGGCTCACACAAACATACGCAATATTTATATACTAATCTTCCTGGAATTTCGGTTGAACAAATCAATTTACGTAACCTTTTCTATAATTGGAAGATACAAAAAAAATTATTATTATATCCTCACACTACTATATAGACGTCCTTGGTTAGAACACATGCAATTGAAAATTTCTAGCCTTTTGCGCAACTTAAGGGAGGATTGTTTGGTCTTTTTGGATGAAGCATTATTTTATCCTATTAATCCACTGTCGCTGCTTGAGTTTGCTTTCTCAACTATTTAAGTTTGATTATAATAGAATAGGTATTAAGGTATGAAATTGGCTTCAAATACATTAAAAAGAAATTTGGAAATTCACATCATAGTTTTCGTTTAAAGCAAAGTAGATTTGACCCGTTTCTAAACTAATGGTAACGTCAATAATTATAAATATATAAAATTAATTATTTTTGAAACTACGTTAGTATGTGAGCTATCAAATGAACAGTAAAAATGAAACACGTTGATAATAATATACATACAGACGTTTTAAATAGATAAAATTCGTAAGATCGTGTATTTCTAGATTTGTTGGATAGGATTTATGAATTAAAATTTTCGAAATGTTTTACAAAAATAATTAATATTTAGTCATGAATGAAAAAGCAACATTATTTGGAAATATTATCATTAACATGTGTACCTTGGACGCACTAAATATAGTATAAATTTCAAATTTGTGAAGGTTAGTCTACAAGACGGGGTAGATATTGAGATGAATGTGGTTCACACGTTTGGTTTGATTAATGGATTGTCGATTTTGCATACGAGAAGACATTATTCTCATTTACAGTCTCTAACTAATAGCAAATTTACAACTTTGGAAGGGACTAACTTCGGGTTATGGTAAAATTAATATAATTTGAATTTATGTATTTTGTTGTGTTCTATAATTAAGGAGTTAAGCAAACAATTTTTGATTCCTAATCATTTTTTTTTTGTGATAAGATTGATGAATATGAAGTACCTCTCCCAACAAGAGTCAAAGATAAAATCCAACTAAAAAATATTGTGAAAAAGATTTGGCTAATAAAGAGTGTTAATCACATAAAAAGAATAACTAATTATTTCTTCACCAAAATCAGATGAAGATAATGACATTGCAAAGACAAAAGAAGACAATACTTGATGTAGAGATAGGGGTTTCATTTATGGGAATGAAAGGCACTATTATTAGTGGATATGAAGATGCTATTGATGGTGAAGAAATCTAAAAATAGTATAAAATTTGTGTAGTAATTTTGATATCGAGGAGTAAAACGAAGTGTTGGTAAAGCCTTTTAGATGTCGGTTCCCTTGCATATGTCCTTTTAATTTTGATAAGTATTTTGGACGATGGACCGATTAAAATGTCAGAAAATTATGATGTATATTTTTTAAATTCTTCCAGTAATTAAATAATTTCAATTATTTTTATAATACAGATAAAAATGTGCCACACTTCCTATAATTATAATCAATAGTTCAATACAGTCAAAATCACGATTCTATGTAGAAATATTTTGGTGATTTAGAAGCGTAAAAAACGTAAGCTTTTAAGCTTTAAAGCGATTATGACTACAATTGTAAGAACAAAGAGCGATCCTACGTAAAAGTGTTTTGGTGAACTAAAAATGAACAAATGTAATCTTTCCAATTTTAAAGCGCGATTTTTGACTGTATTAATTATAATTATGGTTTATGTCATTGATCAAATGAACCGACCATCGGGTCGGGCCCTTATCTAGTTTTTAGTATTTATGAACCAATTTGTTATAGCATCTCCATTGGTGCAATGGCATTTGCAATTGCATTTATTTTTTTATTGTTACTTCATATTTTTGCAATCCAACTCATCTTACTTGCATTGCACCACATCAATGCAATTAACTTGCAATTGCAACTAATTTTTTTTATTTAATTTATTAAAACATAAACACTCAAATAAAAAAAATAATGAATAATTTAAAAATAAAAAATATGATGTGGCTTGCATTCCATAATTGCATTTGCATTATATGCAAGCTTGCAAAGATGCAATTGTCATCTACATCAATGCAATTGCAAATGAATGCCATGTTATAATGCAATTCTAATAGCAATTCCAATGGAGATGCTCTTAGACGTAGGTTATAGTACAAAACCCTTAGTTTTGTAGTCCAACAAAGTTAGACCCGACAATCAGCTCGGGTTGGGGATATCGGGGTGCAGGTCATCATGGGTCAGGTCATTTTGGGTTGGCTGATTTCGGGTCATATATGACTCAACCCAAAACTTTCTGGCTAAGTTTCATATCATTTCGGGTTTGAGCATTGTCATAAACAATAGCCAACATGCTTCATATTTATTTCCTTAAAGAACAAAAGATTTCTTATCTTTATGGCAATAGTGTACATAACACTTGTCAATTAAAATATTCTCAAATCCTCTATGCTGTTGAAAGAAAATAGAATTGCACAAATTGAAAAAAAAATTGCAACTCGCTCAAAAAAATAAAGAGAGTAATACTACTACAATAAACACATAATATTTTTTATAGGTACACTCCAAACTTGTCTTTCAAATCTTTGTGAGTTTTTAAAAATATCTCACAAATTTATGAGCGATTTTATCATTTTGAGGATGACATATGAACTGGAACAAGTTTGGAGTGATATATTTGTGGTACTCGGGATTTTTCCAAATGATTTTTCCAAATGATTTGAATTATTGAGACTAGTTGGTTTTCGACAAAGATATTGCTTTTTTAACACAAATTAAAGCAATTTTAAAAACACTTATTTTAAAAAATCTAATTAAGTCTTTATCCTACCACAATTACTGAAATTAAGTCTTTGTTGTCATTGAAGCCATCAATCCTTGTGATAATATGTTGATTCCCAAGTACATTTCTTTTCGGGTAAATGCCATATTTGGTCACTGATATTACTAAATTGTGTAATGTTTGGTCATTAGAAAAATTTATAGTAAATACAATATATTAGCCACAACTATTATGAAGCGGGGAATTACGCCACTACTATGGAAATTCAAATTATTAGCCAAACGTTAACTCTCTGTTAACAATTCCGTTAGTAATGCTGACTAAACTTTTGTGTTTTAAAGTTATAAATTAAAAGCAGTCTGACATGGTTGCTGCTGTGGCCGATGACGTGGCCTTCTCTGTCAAAATTCAATAATAGTAACGGAAGTAACAGACAATTAGCCATATCTTGACCCGCAACAATAGTTATGGCTAATAATTTGAATTTACATAGTTGTGACTATAATTCCCCGCTTTATAATAATTTAATATAAATTTTGGTCACTCGAATTACTTAAACATGTCACATTTAGTCACTCTTCCGTTAGCCTCCGTCAAACTCCGGTCACTCGAATTACTGAAACATATAACATTTGGTCACTCGAATTTTTGAAACATGTCACATTTAGTAATTCGAGTGACCATAATTGATATAAAAATTTTCTAGTGACTAAACATGACACGGTTTAGTATTATCAGTGACCAAATGTGGCATTTACCCCTTTCTTTTTTGTAGCTAGTCGTAAGAAAAATATCGGCTCGTTAATCGCAATCTAAGCCCAACTGAGTAATTGGACCTTGATCACTTGGACCTTGTTTAATTTGTTTCGAGTTTTCGTACGTGATCCAACTTATGCATTTACTAGCTTTGACCCTGCCTGTTAGGGGTGTTCAATTGGCTACCATGGTTATTACCAAACCAAATAAGCCTAAATTTCATTAACTATGGAATACAATATCATAACCAGACCGTCCAAACTAATACAACAACCAAATTAAAGTTTAATTAGTTTGGTTAATTAGTTAACCAGATTAACCAATATAAAATCACATTATCATTAATTGAGAAAATTTCGGTTAATTTATCAATTCACAATTTATATAATGAATAAAACATAACTATCAATTGAAGCAAAGATGCTGAGGAGAAGAGAAGGCCAGTAGATGGAGCATGTTTGAGGTAACGAAGTATCCTTGTCACAGCCTTGTAATGTGCATTTGTTGGGTTAGACATGAATTGGCTGACCTGTTGGGTGGTGAAGCTGATGTCTGGCCTCGTTATTGTCAAGTAGATGAGTTTGCCAACCAAGTGTCTGTAGTGTTCAGGGTTGGGATAGGAATCCTCATCGTGGGTGGATAAATGAGATTTGTAGTCCATGGGAGTGCTGACTGGCTTGGTGTTGAGCAAGTCTGCCTCTTCTATGATTTCCAGAGTGTACTTCGTCTGTGAAATATGTATACTAGAAGTAGTTCTAGCAACCTCGATACCAAGAAAGAACTGGAGTTCACCCATGTCTTTGATGCTGAATTCATGGTATAAAAAGGCTTTGAGGGTGGTGATCTCATTGAGATCAGTTCCACCAACAATTAGGTCATCAACGTAGACTAGAACACATGTGTAGGATGTTGAAGTAGCTTTGTACAAGAGTGAATGGTCTACCTTGCTGGAGACATAACCCTTTGTGTGAAGCTTTTCTGCCCATTTAGCAAACCACTGACGAGATGCTTCCTTGAGACCATAGAGTGATTTTCTAAGTTTGCAAACTGGATTCTTGAAACCAGGAGGGGCAGTGTATCCATCTGATAACTTCATGTAGACATCTTATTCTAAATCCCCATGTAGGAAAGCGTTGTTGATGTCTAGTTGGTGGATGTGCCATTTTTGAGAGGCTGCAATGGCTAAGAAAAGGCGAATGGTTGTCATTTTGACCACAGGTGCAAAGGTGTCCTGGTAGTCAACCCCTTCTTGTTGGTTGTATCCTTTAGCAACTAGGCGTGCCTTGTGCCTTTCAATGATACCCGTAGAGAGGAACTTCAACCTGTATATCCATTTGTTGCCCACCAGTCTCACCCCTTCAGGTTTCTCAACTATGTCCCATGTATGGTTTTTAGCAAGGGCTTCCTTTTCAACATCCATGGCTGCTGACCAG